CCGCACACCACGGCCGGTCAGGACACCCGCACACTCAGCCGCACACCACGGCCGGTCAGGACACCCGCACACTCAGCTGCACACCACGGCCGGTCAGATACAAGAAATGAAACAATTCAGGGGCAGCTGGCGCATGGAGGTAGAGAAGGTAATACTTCCTCTATTTTTAAAATTAAATTATGAAGATTAAATTATGAAACAAGTGACTTTGAAATAACTCATTGCTATAATTTTATTGTCACATTAAACATATTTTCTGGCTTCTTTGAAAAAATTTACTATTGTAATATTACGAAATGTTTTATCTTCTTTCCTACTCAATATTTTTAGCTACCAGCCACCACCGGTTTTATATACGTGCCCTGTGCCTGCTGGGAGAGCTGTGCTAGATTACTGGTTATGGGAAATACTGGGAAGGAGGGATGGTTGAATGGATATAAAATTCAAGCGATAAACTGGAAAGACACCCTTGATCACTGAGATCTTTGTATATGCACAAAAGTTGCAGAACCCTGGATCCTATCGGAGAGGGGTTCCACCTTGCCACTGAGGACATAGTCATACGCCGTGGCAACAGTTAGCATAAATGCATGTCTTTGGACTGCGGGAGGGAAGTGGAGTACCTGCCAGTAACCCACACGACACGGGGAGGGGGTTATGCAGACACCCCAGGGAGATTAGGGGCAGGATTCAAATCCCCATCCCTGGAGGTGTGAGATTACTGTGCGGCCCACCCCTACAAATATTACACTGTCATGAAATAGAACAGCTGTAGGATCCATCATTATGCAAGACAAGCAAGCGAGGGAGGAAAGTGGTTTATTCCTCCGAGAGTGTCAGGGGTGTATGGATGGAAAGAGGAATGTGAGATGGGCAGACTTTGGAAGAGAAAGCAAATCACATGATTTTGGCAACAGGAGGTTTTACTTACACAAAAATGTTCTGAGTGCAGAAGGAGAAATGATTAGTTCAGAGAGAGAACCAATCAGATTGTATAGGAGGTGGGACCAAGACACCTGATTGGTTGGTCCTACCTCCTTTGGTTGCTTAGGCCCACCTCTTCTATAATCTGATTGGTTACCTCTCTGAACCAATCATTTTTCCTTCTGCCCTCAGAAGTGAAACTCCCATGATCCCAAAATGCTGGATGGCATTCCCTATCCTGCTACCCATCATGTCACGTTGGGAGGGACCAGACGGACCCAATTCACAGCATTTACACCAAATATTACCTGATTAAAATGCAGTTATTTGAGTTCTTTGTTCTGAGTGAGGCACCCGCCCTTTGCTCCGTACCAATAGCTTCATTATACTTTATTATTTTAGCGGAGTCGGCACACAGACTGGTTCCTACTGGCACAATCTCTCTGTCAGCCCTGAATTTCTGCACGTGTGCCCTCCCAGCCGTCCTGCTGCTCACAGCCGCATTACAGGAGGATCACTTCGTCTCGCCATCGTTCTTGCCTTGGTGGACAGTCGTGTGATGTGGGAATTTCAGGACGGACCGGCTTTCAGTCTTAGTCAGGGATTCCCAGTTTTGGGCAGAAGTGAAGAGGGAGGGAGCAGAAAATAGGGGAACGAAAAGCATTCTTTCAGAATGTGGGGTCACCTTTTAGACGAAGAAAAGGGGAAAAAATGAACACTGCAGACCTGGAAATCTCGAATTGTGGGTGTTTGGAGCCGAAGATGGGAAGCATCTGGTCTGAGTTTCATGACAAAACAAAAGAAGTGACAAGTGGAAGGAATCAGTGTAAATAACAACAGTCACCTGACTCACCTCTGGAGTCCAGGCCTGGGTCTCTGGCCTGGCCCAACCAATTACAAGCCTGGCTCAACCCAAATGCTAACCAATCAGGAGCCTGGTCCAACCCAAATGGCAACCAATCATGTGTCTTTTTTATTACGGTAAATAAGGAGAAACAAAGTCAAAAAGGCAAACACTGACCATCCAGGCCCCTGCAGAAATTTTGTGTGCCACCCTCAGAGCCAGAGCCGGGCCTTGAAACACCCCCCCCCCCTCGTAAGGATAGATGGCTGCCCCCCCGCCCCCACATGGCTTGGTGCGTCACCATTTCTGCACCAAATTATTACTGCCGCTGTTTCATTGTTTGTGGCCATTTGTAATGCCATGACCACACCGGACCGCTTGCTTTCATTACAGACATCACTTCTCCAGCCTGGGTGGGGGGCGATGGGGGTGATCTAATCTCCCAGCTCGTAGACCCAGTGAGCCCCCCCCCCCCCCCACCTTCTTACGCCCTCTGTTCCTGCCGGTGTTCTTTTCCTCGTGATGGACTGCCTTCCCGCTCAGACCAGAGGCTAAGAGCACTCTTCATGGGGGGGTCTCCCCGGGGGACGGGGAGGATGGGGGAGGGGGGGTGAAGGGTCTGGGGGAAAGGGCTGCGTTTAGGAGGTGTGATGAATCATCTGTGGGCCCTGCTCCTCCCCAGGGGGGCAGGGGGGAGGTGGGATAATGTTCTTCCCAGGATTGCTCCTGGGGCCTGGCTCTTCTCGTGTTGGGGGGTCGGTGCCAGGACACTGTGCCCCCCCCCCCCCCCCAGCATCCAAAACAACACATCATCTCTCAGGGGGAGCAGTGAGAGAGTAACACAAGAGCATGGGGAGCAAGAATCTCTGCAGCTTCTCCCAGAATGCACCACACCGCACATAAGCGCACTTTGCTTATCAAGTCACAAAAATAACAGCAACTGCATAAACTACTGCGCTATCAACTACTTACGCGAGTGTACATACAAATTAAAATGAACAAAAAAAGGCTGAAAAAGATAAAGCATTCTAGTCTCTAATAAAAGTAATTACCTTTTCTCTAATTGGATTCAGGCTATTATCTTTAATTACATAAACTGATTTTACATTATTACATCATTTGCTTTATGAAATCCTGCTTTTAGAGGGCACCGCGGTGTTTAATAGTCGGCTACAATTAAAGCCAAGCCTGCCTGCCACCACGTTTGACCGTGTTAAAGGCCTGGACTATACCGAAAACACAACGATTGGAATTCACACATCACAATGGAAAGTGATCAATGACTTAATGATTTAATAATCAAATAGGCACACATATAGGCTGTAACACTTAACAGCACCCTGCCCCTCATCTCCATCCTATTAGACATACTGCTGGTGGCCGTTTCCCTGTGTTTGGCTGTACGACTCGGCAATGTGCTAATCCAACACATTCCCTATTGATTATAGGGCTTATTCCAGGAGACCAAATTATGCTTCTGAAAGATGCTGTGAAGGACCAGAGGGTTGAAAATAAATGAATAAATTAACGGGCAAATGCGGCCCGTTAGGGACGACATCATAGTGCTAGAAAACGTTAAGCTAAATGTTTAACTTGCCTGTGGAAGCTGCCCTGCTGTTCATCAGTCTATATATAAAAATCATTCCACTTAAATTTCCTACTGATTCGCCCACGCGACCCTGAAACTTTGACCTGCTGGCCGTATATCACCGCTAATTGGCTACCTTCAGGCTTTCTTAAAATTGCGATTGGTTGTGTATATAAACAGGAATAAGGGCTCAAGATACAAAAATGTGCTCGAAAATAACGACAAAGGGCTAGCGAAGGTAAACAGGCTGTCAGTGGATTTTCATTGGTCGGCAGCGCCTTGGAGGACGGGGTGACGGAGACGGCATCTCGCTGGGGAGGCCATTTAGCCTTCATCAGTGAAGGATGGAATCCAACGGGGGGGGAGGACTTCTCGTGTCACGCCACTCTTGCACGAGTAATCCTTTGCGTACGTGAAGTTCTGCTGGCCCCCCCGGAACAGTACCAGCCAGACGGTGGTGCAAAAGCCAACTGGCCACAAGGCCAAGGAAGGCAGTTATTCTGTGATCCTTAGGCTGTCCGTTAAAAGCAGGTGGCTCCTCCTTTTCAGACCCCCCGACTCCCAGATGGTGAAACTCCTTCCGGCACATTCCACCAGGCATCTGCCCAGACAACACGGAGTTCCGCGAAAGACTGCATTCTCCTTAGGGAGACGAGAGGAATCCTGGGGACCACTACTGGGACGTTGGCTTTTTGGTGAATCGCGCTCTTCGCTGATGTTGCTTCCATAGTGGGCCATTGCATTTCTGAGGGCGTCAGCTTGCAGGTAAACAGGAACCGGGGATCCTCTGCAAGTCGTCTAATTCTTGGAATAAGTGTACATATCCAACAAGAAGGCTAACGGCCTGAGATTGCAATTTCGCTTTCTGCTCTTGAGCTACTGGGCACCTATCGCGAGGGATATCAAAAGCCATGACGGGATGCACAATGTTCACGCAAATGCGTCTCATTTTAGAATCGGGATACATTCAGACATATGAAGGACCTTCAATTCTGATTTAAGCGAATAACCCTGTTTTTGTTCAGAGGGATGCGGAGACAAAGCTCGGACTTGTCGGAGCGAGCATTAGCGCGAGCAGCACCCCTGAGAAGTCGTTACTCAAAATGGAAGCATGTCGTTTGTTTACGCCCTTGGATGAGGAGGCAGAACCTGGGTGAATGGGGATCACTGTTTCGGCATTTCATGTTTTAAATAATGAGACCCATAATAATCAGAAGCTTTTATTAAAAAAATAAAACATATATTAAAAATCTTAAAACAAACGTTCTTGCTTTTTTACATTCAAGAGCACATTTTAAAGACCGCAATAAAGAAATAAATGAACTGGATCGAAGTTTCACTTTCTCCTTGGCTAATCACACAACCATATATTCTATAGTAGATAAACACTACAGATAATAATATTATAATGATGTAATATTCTGTATGCCACTTAAATAGCTAGATGCAATCTTCCTTTGTATGTGTATGACCCAAATATAAATGGATGTAATACATTGAAAAAGACATAATAATTTATCCCTGTAATTCATATGATGTTCATGAGTCCATTTAGAAGCACCGGATGGGACACCTTACAAAGAAACCATTACAGGCCGCCGATGTTATTCAATCCATGTTGCTCCGCCCCAGCAATGTTGTGAGACCCTCCGATCGTTTGAATGCAGCCTTAAAACCTCCCTGGCATTCTGTGTTTTGCTCTGTCAGGGCTCGACGATCAGCTACAGGGGTCCCCTAGTGGTGAAACTCAATTACAATAATTAAAATGCATTCTGCGGGGAGAACAAAAATAATGAATTAGAGAAAAAGCTGATGTTTGTTTATGTCTGTTTTGGCTCGGAAATTGGAATGGCTGCTGCCGCATGGTCTGGCCAAATGTCTAGGTACTGACCAGCTTCTACAGTAGCCTCAGATCTCATTTCAGGGTGACTCCCCAGATTAAGAGACATGCCGGACAGAAATATACTACAGCATATTAAAATAATACTACATTAAATTTAATTTTAAAACACAGATCAATGCTGCATGTGCTGTACTCATTTTTCTGAACAGCATCTCACAATGAAATGCTTTAACATTAATGGGGATCTATCAATATTTAAACTGAAGGCCTAGTTTTAAATGAGAAATAACAGCTTGACTGATCGGAATTTTTAACGTCAATTGAGGGTGTCGGTTAATGAGGAGCAGAGCTGGACCCTGGCCAGAGTCAGTAGATTAGGTCAGAGCTATTGAATGAAGCATTATGGTATATTCCTGATTTTATTTCATAAACGGTAAATTAAGCACATGCAATCAAGGTGGGGGGGTGTTCTATGATCATTTAAATACACGATTCCCTCGTCGCATAAATCCAGCCTGAGCCGGTGGACATTCCCCCCTCGCTCGCCTCTTGGCGCCAGATCCCTCACAGCAGAAATTCGGCGCAATAAATGTAATTTAAAAATCAATTTGCATCGAAAAAGTTGGAGTGCAACGTCTGATCTCCGGGCCAATAACAAAGACCCGGGCATCCATGTCATTAGCCAACGTACAATGCGATCAGTGACCATCCCCCCCCTACACTCACCCATCCACGAAACCCCACACCCCGCCAGCATCGTCTAAAAACGAGGATAAACACTCTGATCCGTCGTAATCCGAAGTAAAGTAAGGCTTGTTAAATAGCATCTGCTTAGATCGGTACGGTAACAAAAAAAAACAGCATGTAAAATCACTGTAAGAAACTGCATAACGAAGCTATGAAAACAGAATCATCTGTTGGGAGGAAAGACTGACATGAAACTTACAAAGGGCAAAAGGCCACAGGCGGCACCCATGAACAATAGGTGGCAGCAAAGAGCCGCTAGACGTCCGTTAGCCCGATGGGTGAGGGCACGAGGTGAGTCTCATTGCTCCACCCCCACGACGGGTCACGGCGGTGAGGGGGGAGGGGGCGGTGCCCTGGAGACGGCCTGACCTGAAGCTCCTCGGAGTCGTCGAAATGACTCTCCTCGACTACGCGTATTCTTAAGCAATAACAACGTGATCCGTATTATCCACCCAAGAATACCCGTCACCGAAGAGAATCCACGAGAGGACAGAGACATGGGCAGGGAGTTATAAACCGCGGCAGGCTTTCACACGATTGATTGAAGACGGCCTGCGTCACGCGACGAGGCCGTGCCAGAGGCGTTCTGCGGACAGAGATTAAAAACAGTGCGTTTTGGGGTGAAGCTGACATACCACTAAATAAAAAAAAAAAAATCCCACCTCTACGTTTCGTAACGCTAATGTCGCCTGCTGAACCAGGGGCTTACCTTGCATTCGGGCACTCCACAGGCGACCCCTCGGAAATCCCATTACCGCCATCCCCGGCACGGCGCCGGCCCGCCGATTTTCTGCCAACCCATGTCCAAGAGTAAGCGAGTCGGTCCTGTGGAAACAGCAAAACAGTTAGAGGGTCACTGCGGCAGCTGCTACCTCTCCACTCCAGACCGAGCATTAACGTCGCCTGCCCCATTAATAGTCAGCCACCCCCCCCCCATTCAGCACCAGCACCAGCACCATCTCTGCCCCCACCCCCACCCCCACCAAACCCCTGCCTCTCCTGCCTCCAAAAAAAAAAAACACAAAAAAAATCCATTAGCAGCAGGGGGCAAATTATATATCATTTGGGGGGGGGGGGGGGGGTGAAAATGAAGCCTGTCAGAATGGAGAAACAACGAGTGTTATTGAGGTTTTCTTCTGCTAGGGGAGGTAGCGCCCCCCCCAGCCAAATTAAAACAGCCCCGCGAAGCTTAGTGCCGGGAAAAGCCAGTGAACTGAAGCTGTAAGCAGGACAAGGGACGGGGCCCCCGTCACCCAGTACCCTGCATTAAAGGAAATGTCACGTGCACCATTTTTAAGGCCATTGTCACACTTCCAAGCACGGATGTGCGTTACGACGAACGCATTTCAGATTTTAGCATTTAGTTTTACCTTTAAGAATGGCACTGCAAACAAAAATCTAATTTAAATTTATTGTCCATCACACTTCTATGTATCAGCACAGAGAAAATGTACGACGAGTTCAATTTAAAGAGAATTCATACATTTAAACAAAATTTAGAAATATACACACACTCCTAAAGACACACGACCAGGATCCAAATCACACACCAAATAAAATAAAACATTTCATCATAAAATAGCAGCATCTTTTACCTTTTTTATTTTGTAAAAAAGGCAAGAATAAAACTTTTAGCAAAAAAAATAAACACCTGAGTTAAACCACCTGTGTTCAACACAAATTCTCTTCCAGTTGCTGTCAAAGGATTTCAAAACTCTGTGAGTATAAGGAAGACGGAGTAGAATACGTATTTTCCCCCAGTTCAGAAAATGTTATACATTTTTAAAAAAAAAAGAAATTCAACAGCCCAAAAGCCAACACAAGATGGTATCCCTATTCGGCATGATATTCCCAGTTTGTACATCGAACTCCCTCCAGCAAATATCTTCTGATTTCCATCGCAGTGGGACAGCAGAAGGACGGGATCAGACCTTTCTGTCCGATGTGCCGCCGGGAGCCGTAGGGAATGCAGGATCCTCCGGAGCGAGCCAGTCCCACTGACCCCCCCCCCCCCCAATGCCCAGCCACCTGGTTTATCTTGTTTAAACAGCATCGGCAGAGAAACGCAGGGGTGGAAGAGAGGGGGCTTGTCCGGGCGGCCTCCATCTGGCTCCCCCTCTATGGAGAGCGTCCGTGCACCCCCCGCCACCCCCAAAACGAGGGACACGCCGAAAAAAGCAGACTGGAGTCATGCTTCTATCTCCCAGCCTCCTACGGACGCATATGGACCCAGCAGAGAGCA